GAGGTTCAGAGCTGAGTTTACAAGCCCTAAACCCTAAACCCCTAAACCCTAAATCCTAACCCTTAACCCCTAACCCCTAAACCCCCAACCCCTTAAGCCCTAAACCCTAAACCCCTAAACCCCTAACACCTAAACCCCTAAACCCTAAACCCTAAACCCTAAACCCCTAAACCCCTAAACCCCTAAACCCCTAAACCCTAAAGGAGCCTGCAGCGCAGACCCTAATCCCCTCAGCCCGAGCTGAGGGCGACTGTCCCCGCCATGCAGACCAAAGCAAGCTTAGGGTTTGGGGGTTTAGGGTTTTAGGGTTTTAGGGTTTGGGGTTTAGGGTTTTAGGGCTTAGGGTTTAGGGTTTGGGGTTTGGGGTTTAGGGTTTTAGGATTTTAAGGTCTCCGGGTTTGGGGTTCTCAAACCCATGATCTCAAAGCTGAAGTTATGATTTAGTGTAGAGCTTAGAGCAAAAGGAGCAATGACCGGAGCTGGTGAGCCTTTTCGGACCGGGGCGAGGGGAGGGTCTGAGGCATTCCTGAGCGCTGTAATATGGGGGGCCTTAATCATAGCCTGTACTATTTTGGGAGCTCCTTATTATAATAAGTATAGTATATTGTACCCCAAAACCCTATTCTAATCTTTATAAGGCACCCGCCGTAAGATGGGCACTTGCGTCCTCGACACGATCGTCTGATTGCAGGACGCAGATGTTGTCCTCGACGTCCGAGAGTGCGGACAGATCCTGCTACCCGAGCCGCGAGGTCTTCGAGACCCCTTGAATGTCCTTTAGGGTTTTAGGGTTTGAGGGTTTTAGGGTTGAGGGTTTAGGGATAGAAGCTCTTAGCACCACCCTCTATAAACCTTAAGTTAAGGCCTAAAGCCCGCACCCTGAACACCCCCAACCCTGACTCCCTTGAACATACTTGCTGTAGAGGTGGCCGACAGCTCAAAGGATCCTGCAAGTGAGTATTCAGAATACCGCCCTTCATAAGCAAGGTCGAGAACTTCAGCTTGCGGGTTACGAGGCTTTTGAGCTCGTCATGGGGGCTGGGGGTTGCTGTAGGGCTTACTAAGGGGCTGCAGCTGCTATTGGGGTTAGTCTCTGCCCGTATTGGCGATAGCTTTTATGAAGCGATTCAATCATCCAGAAGTCTGCAACTGTTCCCTCGAGCTGTTAATGTCCTCTTCCAGATGATTGGGCCTTGCAGTGAGTCCTAACAGAGCGGGCGGAAGACATAGTCGCAGTATCCCCCTTTAGTCCGTATATAGTCATAGTGTACTAGCCCCCGAGAGCTCTTTTCAAATCAGCTAGGCCCCTTCTGTTCTCCCAAACCGTGCAACCCCCCAACCCACAAAGTCTGAAGCTGAAACTCATGGAAAGCTCAGAAGCCCCTCTTGGGAAAGCTTCTAGCCTCTTGTAGCCTTTCATATAGAAGCCTGGCTAGTTGGCAAAGGTTCTTTGTACAGGGGCCATGCTACCCTAAACCCCAGGCCATGAGGTTAGTAGGACTCAATCCAAACCCCTGAATCCGTGAAACCCCTAACCCGCCGAGTTTGCGACATTTTGCTTTAGCAGGCGAAGTTCGCACCCGTTTCCGCCGCGACTCAGCTAGCAGTGCCTACGGTTGGGGTCTCAGTAAAGATTCATGGGTGCATCTAACTAATTGTTCACATTAGTCAGGGCTATGAGTCTCGAGGTTGATGGTTTAGGGATTCAAACGCAAATCGGTCTGAGAGTTTGTTCTCATTGCAAACCGTTTATGCCTGCACCCTAGACCCTCAAGTGGAAGCCGCAAAGACACAGCATCATATATACTCCTCTTGCACTGTAAGGTAACGTGTAATGGGCAACATCAATCACCCCTAAACAAAATCCCTAAACCCTCAAACCACCAGGCCCTAACAAAAACTAAACCCGACACCCTCAAGCCCTGTATACAGCCCCCTAAAGGAAATCGTAGTTAGGGTGATTAGGCGACTAGGGGTCCTGCCCTTAACAATGAGTCTCGGGCAGCTCTCGACCTGAATACTAGCAAGGCTTCACAAGGTTGACGGTTGTTGAGTTGAGGGGGCTTAATATAGGGGCCTAAATATTTAGCTATACTATTCTGGGGGTTCCTTATTATAATCATAGTGTAATATATCCCCCCAAACCCTATTCTNNCTTTGGGGTTTAGGATTTTAGAGTTTGGGCTCTTAGGGGTTCGCTGGAGGGTTGAGTTTAGTGTCTAGTGTTTGGGATATAGCTTTGATACTCGTCTTTGCTTGCCGCTGAAGTTTTTTGGGGTATCTACATAATCAGGTGCTTCTCTATATTCAAGACCCGTATGAAGTTTTGCAGTATAAATCGAAACTCCCAAACCCTCCAAACGGCAGCCTCAAAGAAAGAACTACAACTAGGCATAGGGTCTAAGAGGTATAGTTTATAGGGTTAATGGATTAGGAACGAAGCCCCATGCACCGAGGACTTTCCCGAGGAGGAGATCACGATGCAGGTCCCGCTGCCACCCAGCTGGGAGTACACGCCACCGTCCGATCATCCCGAGCTACCACCTACATGGAGTATCGACGGGTGAGCTGAGTTCTAGGCGCGCAGGATTCAGGCATCGTTGCGGCTTGATCACGCAAGCAAACACATAAAGATGTCAATACATCAGTGTGTATGTATGTGTGTGT